TGAATTACCAGCATCCTTGTGGCTATTCTGGTCCTCCCTTATCCTCCTGGCGCACTCCCTCCTCTTCCCCCTCCTGCTCCTCCTCCTCCTCCTCCTGCTCCTTCTCCGCCTCCTCCTCCTCCGCCTCCTCCTCCTCCTCCGCCTCCTCCTCCTCCTCCTCCTCCTCCTCTCCGCCTGCCCTGGCTGCGGGAGCCCGCCGAGGCGGCGCCGCCGCTTGGGCCGCGGACGCCCAGCGGCAGCAACCGCGCTCCGGAGCGGCCAAGAGAGAAGGGAGAGCATGGCAGGGGCCATGGTATTTTCCTAGGTTTGAAGGCCCCCTGTTCTCTTTTCAAGAATGAGGCCCCGGGTCCCCGCCTTGGGCCGCGCACGTGCCTCGGGCCATGATTTGCTGCCCCCTCGGACGCCCCTCCCTGGGACGCCCCCGAGCATCTGCCCCATGCTTCGGGCTGGGCGTAGACAGCCCCCCAAGGTAGCCGGCTGGCCTCAACAGGCCCCCCTGGGTGGCCCCAGCTGGCCGCAACCTTCCCTCCGAGTAGGCCGGGGCGGTCTCCCGAGCCTCGGGCGCAGGGGTGCCGCCAGAGGCGGCGACGGGGTGTTGAGACCGCCCCCGACAACTCAGGGTGCCCTCGGAGTCCAGCTGGGATCGTTCGGGGGGCCTGTAGATGCCAGTTGGGACTACCTGGGGGGGCTGTCTGTGCGCAGCCCGAAGCTTTGCGATGGCTCCGTCCCCCCGCCTCTCCTCTCTTATACAACTGCTCAATGCGAGCGCTTCTTCATCATAAAAAATAATCATCATCATCATCATCATCATCATCATCATCATCATCATCATCATCATCATCATCATCATCATCATCATCATCATCATCATCATCATCATCATCATCATCATCATCATCATCATCATCATCATCATCATCATCATCATCAGCGTCATCATCATCATCATCATCCGCATCATCATCATCAACATCATCATCACCATCACCATCACCATCACCATCGTCATCATCATCATCATCATCATCATCATCCTCTTTCTTCTCCTCCTCTTGTTCCTTCTATTTCTCCCTCTCCCCCTCCTCCTCATCCTCCACCTCCTCATCCTCTTCCTCCACCTCCTCCTCTTTCTCCTCCTCTCTCTCCGCGTCCTCCTCCTCGTCCTCCTCCTCATCCTCCGCCACCTCTTCGACGTCCTCCTCTCCCTCCTCCTCAATTCCTCTTCCTGGTAAATAACTTCTCCCTCTCGCACCCCGAGGCCATTTTTTAGGGCGGGCCGGGCGTTTCCGCCTGAGACTTCCTCACCATTTGTGACTCTGAAGCTTCAAACTGAGCAACAGTTTCACTGATGGAGGGGGGTAGTTTTCAAAATGTGACTATCGCCTTAGCGCGGCGCACATTCGCATTTGAATGTTCCAAAGTTTCACGGATTGAGGGCGGGTGGCTTTCAACATGTGGTTCTCGCTTTAGCGCGGCGCGCATTCTTTTTATAAAGTTGCAGGAGCTTCACGGATTGAGGGTGGATGGTTTTCAACATGTGGTTATCGCATCAGCGCGGCGCACACTCGTTTTAAGTATTTACAACAGTATCATTGATTGAGGCCGGTTCCTTTTCAAACTGTTGTTCTCGCCTCAGCGCGGCGCACATGATTTCAACAATTTTTGACCGCTTCACGGATTGAGGGCGGTGCCTTTTCAAAATGTGGTTCTAACCTTAGCGCTGCGCACATTCGTTTCATTTTAGAAATGTGGAAGAGTGCCACGGATTTTCTCATCATCAACGTAACAGAAAGGGTGTTAAAAAAGGATTCAGGATTACGCGGGCGCGACAGTTACGTTGATTCGCTGTGTTGAAGTCCCAGGACTAGGGCTCTGGCACAATTCTGGATCGGCAACACGCAACAGTCAGTTTGGCTCGAGAACAGTGCGTTGGCATATTTCAGGGTATTCAAACGGTTGTCTTCCAACGAGGCAGTTCCCTCAATGGAAATGAACCGTTGTATGGGGCCTATGAAGAGGGAGCCTGGAGGGAGGGTTTACTCCAGCATCGTTGATGACTCTTGGGTTTACACTGGTCCTCCTCCTTCTCCTCCTCCTCGCCCTCCTCCTCTTCCAATGTACACAGCTCCCCCTTCCCGACTGCGCGTAAGTCGATGGTGTCGCCTGTGTCTGCTATGACACCCGTCGGCGGACAGGGAACACGCAGCGTAATGGGAAGAGGCGGGTGGGACGGGGCAGGACGTCGGATGTGGCGCGAGCGCACCTCTCTTGGCACGAGTGCTGCTCAGTTTTTGTTCACCGTTTCCGGAAAAATGCCCCCTGAAAATGGAAACGGCAAAAAAACGGCGACCGGAAACGGCAAATAAACGGCTCCAGGATTGGAACCGGAGCCGGAACCGGTCAAAAACGGAACCGGTAAAAAAACGGCGTCGGAACCGGCAACAAAACGGCAAAACGGAACCAGTAAAAAAACGGCCTTGTCGTTTCCAGGGCCCGCTAAGGTCAGAACCGGTGACGTGCTCCCGTCGTTCAGAACGGCGCCCTGTCACCAGGATAGGCCACACTTCTGGATCCGAGTCGTTCCTCGTCGTTGGCCGCCCCCTCTCTTCCCCTCCTCCACCCGCCGCGTATCCTCCTGCTCATTCTGCTCGTCATCCCTCCTCCCTCCTCCTCCCTCCTCGTCCGCCTCGGACACCTGCTCATCTGCCTCCTGCTTCTGTTCTTCCTGCTGACACAAGCCGCCCTTTCCGATTACGCAGCAGCTGATGGGCCACAGTCTGCAGCTGCCATTTGGGCATCAAGGTCCTCCAAGACACCCCAGTCGGCGGGCAGCAAGATTGAACGCAGAGGGAACGGATGGGTGGGAGAGGCAGGATGGCAGACTTGGCGCAAGTGCATCTAGCGTGGCTCCCCCCCACACGTCCCAGAGGGGCACTTTCAGCGGCGACGGCGCCTCCGAAGAGCCCATGCCGCATGCCTCGCCAGCGCGCTTCTCCCGCCGCCAGGCAGCAGCAGCCGCAGCAGCAGGAGGAGGAGGAGGAGGAGGAAGAGGAGGAGGAGGAGGAGAAGGAGGAGGAGGAGGAAGAGGAGGAGGAGGAGGAGGGAGAGGAAAGAAAGAGGAGGAGGAGGTGGAGGAGGAGGAGGGGGATTATGATGATGCTGCTGCTGCTGCTGCTGATGATGATGATGATGATGATGGTGATGATGATGGTGATGATGGTGATAGTGATGGTGATGATGGTGATGATGATGATGCTGATGATGATGGTGATGGTGATGTTGGTGATGATGGTGATGATGGTGATGGTGATGGTGATGATGGTGATGATGTTGATGATGTTGATGGTGTTGATGATGTTGATGATGCTGATGATGATGATGATGATGATGATGCTGATGATGCTGATGATGCTGATGATGCTGATGATGCTGATGATGCTGATGATGCTGATGCTGATGAGGAGGAGGAGGAGGAGGAGGAGGAGGAGGAGGAGGGACAGCAGCAGCAGCAGCAGCAGCAGCAGCCCGCCTCGTGACCGAGGCGGCGCACGGCTGCCACGCGCGAGCGCACGGCCGTCCTCATTTCGGCCCCCCCTGGCTCGGGCTCGTCTGGCTCAGCGGAGGGGCGGACCGCGCGGAGCTCCCCTCCCTCCTCCCGTGGGGGTGCCAGGAGTGCCCGTGCATCGCTCGGACATGTGTTTTTTTTCCTCGACGAGCACCATCAAGAGGAGCATCTTGGACCATGGCGAAAAAAATGCACGCACGAAGTCGACAAATGCACCGGAAATGGACGTCCGAGCGATGGCCAGTGGCCCGGGGGTGTCCCCTGCCTCCCGCGCCGTCTTTGGGGCCCCCCCGGCGGCCTTGCGAGGGGGGGTGCTGCGAAGGCCTCTTGCCGCGCCTCCCCTGGGAGGGCTGGGGCCGCCCTGGGCCAGGAGCACCCTTTGCATCAGCTTGGCATCGCTTGGACGTGTGCATTTTCTTGCGGCGAGGACCATCGAATGGCATCCTGGATCAGATAGCCAAAAATGCACGCACGAAATCTAATAATGCACAGGGAATAGACGTCCGAGCGATTGCGAGTCAGGGGCGACGCTACGGTCGGAACAAGGTGTAAGATCAGGTCGGTTCGGGGAGGGTACTCTAGTGTTCTTCGTGCTTATTGGATGTTCTTGTGCATCCTGCGGGAGGGTACCCTCGAGTGTTCCTCGGTTTTGTCGGCGGAGGATATCATGTTCTTGAAGTGTGGTCTTCTGTCCTAGGTCCTGCTATAGGGGGGTATAGGCTCAGGGGGAACGCATGGGCCCGCCATCGCCCATTCGTCGCCGATTCGAGCCTGACAGCCCACCCCGCGCAGAAACGCGCGGGATTCGCCTGTCGCCAATCCATCGGCGATACATGGCCGCTTTTTCAAGTCGATGTCCCCCCTCCCCGAGCCGCCACCCACCCCTGTCGTTGCCCCCCCCCCTGCAGCAACCTCCTCGCCCTCCTCCCCCTGCAGGCCATACCCCCTGCAACCTGCTCGCTGCAACCTCCTCGCCAACCTTCTCGCCCTCCTCCCCCTTCAGGCCTCCCCGTGCAACCTCCTCGCCAACCTCCTCCCCCTCCTCCCCCTGCAGCAACCTCCTCGCCCTCCTCCCCCTCCTCCTCCTCGCTGTCGTTGCTCCTCCCCCTGCAGGCCAAGCGTACCCCAGCACAGACTCACCCTGGAGAGAGGGGGCCCTCAGGGCCGACCCCAGGGCGGCTGCGCTTTGGCGCCCACCCTGGATGGAACCGGGGAGGAGGAGGAGAAGGAGGAGTAGGAGGAGGAGGAGGAGGAGGAGGAGGAGGAGGAGGAGGACGAGGAGGAGGGGGAGGAGGAGGAGGAGGAGAGGAGGAGGAGGGAGAGGAGGAGGGGAGGAGGAGGAGGAGGAGGAGGAGGAGGGGAGGAGGAGGAGGGGAGGACGGGCGGAGGAGGAGGAGTAGGAGGAGGAGGAGGAGGAGGGGGGGGCAATGGAGAGGGGTACGCTTGGCCCTTCCCCGTCCTCGCCCCCTCCCGCTCGCCGTCCGCGGGCGCCATGCGCGTCCAGCTCGCCGTGCTGGCGGCGGCCCTCGGCGGCGCCGCGGCGGCCGCGGGCTGCGGCGCCGGCGGCGCGCAGGGGTCCTGCGCCGCCGGAGGCGAGGACGAGCAGGCCCTGCTGCAGGCGGGCGCGGAGCGCCCGAGACGTCCGAGAGTCAAGCAGTGGCGAAGCGTCATGGCTCGCCGAGGGCCGTACCAAACAACGTTCTAAGAGCCTTTTGTGGCGTCCACGAAATATGTTATTATAACATTTCTGGTTGAGATTGTCTTGTTTTGAACACATCGGGTTTATGTTTTATTCCCCAATCAGAGCTTGCCTCTGCAGGGCTCCTAGCGGATTCATATGGTTAGGTTCGGTTTGCCGCCGATGTTCGCCGCACGCCCGGGTGCCCAGGTGCCCGGGGGTGCTTGGGTGCCTGGGTGCCCGGGTGCCCAGGTACCCGGGCGTGCCCGGGGGTGCCCGCGTGCCCGGGGGTGCCCGGGTGCCCGGGCGTGCCAGGGGGTGCCTGGGGGTGCCCGCGGGTGCCCTATAGCCCAATAGTCCTAAAGCCCTACAATTCTATAGCCCTATAGCTCTACAGCCCTATAGCTCAGTAGCCCTATAGC